GTGTGTGTAGTGTGTGTAATATATTTATTATACCTCAAACTATCTAAGTTTTGTTTACATATTTTTGCTAATGAATGATATTCTGGATGCATATAAGTCATAACAAAATATTGTGCCATTAATTGTACGTGTTGCTGAAATTGTGTGGCTAATAGAAGACGTTGTTCAGGATTGATCAATTTTGGCAATTCAGGTTCCGTAACTACTGGTAAAAGATGTGCCACAGAGCAATTCTGAAAGCATAAAAAATATGAAAATTTGAATTATTATAATTTTTATTGAAGTTTACATTTGTGCTATATTAAGATGATGTAAATTAATTTTTTATACCATAGTGCTATTTTCAATTGGTGGTGTTATATTATCTAAAACTTTCTTCTTTTTTGACACTTCTTGTTCTTGTGTTGAAAACATTGGAGTTAATTCAAGTAATTCTGCAATTAAATCATATTGTTCCTTACGAGGAACTTCTACTGCTCTATCTGTCCTAAGTTCTTCTTTATCCACTGTTAATATTTAAAAGTGTTAATATTTCAAAAGTTTAAGATATAATTTTATTTTATTAGATATAGATATTTATTAGATATAGAATATATCAAGAAAAAAATAATAATAAAGACAAATCATAGAAATACATACATAAATCTGTTTCTTCATCCTCCAAGATGTTATATTCTGGATCTGCTTCTGGATCATCCTCTACAGCTAGTTCTTGTGTCAAAGGTTGCGTAAATTCTTTCAAAAAATTATCCCAATCTTCATCAAGTTCACAATCCCAATCCTCAGTCATATCAGCAGTTATATCAGGTGGTATAAATGCTTGTTCTATTTCCTCCAAAGAAGTTTCACTCAAAGAAAATTTGGAACGTGTTCTTTGACCAATACTTTCTTCTTCCATCGAAACAGGAGGAACACTTAAAAATAAAATTATTAATTATTATCAGAAGAATTTGACAATATTATAAAAAACTATAAGAGACAAGAGTTTAAAAAAAAAATTTCAAAGAATTAAAAAAATAATATAAATATAGATATTTCTTACACTGGTATTTTAAAAATTCCTTCAGAATCATATTGTATTTGTGGTGATGTTTGTTGTTCAGAAGAAGTCAAATTCTTATTATTTGATGACATCAACAGCTGTGACTCTATATCACTGTTTATTATATTTTCTATTTCCCTATCATCGTCACTCTGTTTATCATGTTCAGGATTATATTCTTCATCAGATGAATCTTCTGATAGTTCCTCCTGAATCAAAGCTTGCACTTCCGAAGAAGTCTGTTGTGCCGTAGTAATAGGCCATGGTATACTGACTTTTGCAGCTGCTAATTTTCTATAAACATTAAGTTAAAAATTATATAAACAATAATTATAGCAAATAATTATTAGACATCTAAATAAAAAACAATACATACTTAGCTTTAGCTCTTGTGAGTTTAGGACCAATGTTAACATCATTTTCTGTGTCTTGAAGCCATTTTTGTACCATTGTCATTAAATGTTCATAAGGAATTACATGTTTCAATATATTTTTAACGTTAGTGGCAGTTAAGTTAGTTTTGGCAGCTTTAGCATCGAGTTGTCTCTCAATCTCTTCTTCCATTTCATTAAGTACTGATGCTTCTTCGACAGCCTCTCTCTTGTGCTTACTGGATGGCTCATAATTATCCACCTCGGATATATCGATTTGTAGATCTGCATTTTCGGAATCGGTCGAGTTTTCGCTATTAACATCGTTGAAGTCAAAGTTAATTGAAAATGACAAGTTGCATTTCCTGGGTGATTCAGTTAAAGGAACAGAAGGTGCTGATATGTCGACATCGTTCCGTGTAAGTTTACTCGTTTCTTCCATTTCAACGTGAAATTAATTTTTATCTAATTTAAAACTAATTAAAAACGCCGATATATGTAATTTTATTTTTCTGTCAGATATTATTTCGAACATGCATTTTATAGCAATGAGAAATTACAAGAGAGATTTCTAACCATTTCTAACTTTTGTCATAATAAAAGCGCCTAACTCCAGACAGACTGAAACATTTAAGTAAGAAAAATCTCTAGAAAACTTTACGATGCCAATGCATAGGATTATAAAAGCACTAAAGATTTCTAGACTAATTGCGAAACCGGCTTGATAAATTTCGTGAATGAGAATCAGGATTGAGTCAAAAAGATAATTCTAAATACATCGACATGTTTTGTATACGACTGTATAAGGTTATGTCTCGTGCAAATTTTTAAATTGCCGGGACGTATTCTTTAGAGACATTACACGTAATTCTTAAGATGTAACAAGATTTAAAAATTATTTTTTGAGTTGTGACAGTTACGTAGTCTTGGACGACAAAAAAATGAAGCTGGTCAAGCCGAATTGGGTTACTCATGATGGTTCGTAACATTTATTGCTTTTACCGATATCTCGACTCTTTATTTAATTCGAAAAAAAAGATCTAATATTAATCTTTTCAGGATATCCGATTTTCTCTATTGATATACATCCTGATGGAAAAAGATTTGCCACTGGTGGTCAAGGTATATTATACATCTTGTTTTTAAATCAAGATATATACATGTAAATTAGAATGATACTAGAAATGTCAATAAAAATATTTAAATTTTATATTATTATCACATTTGATTATTAGGTGGTGATTCAGGGAGAGTTGTAATATGGAACATGGAGCCAGTGGTTAGCGAGACTGCTGAATTAGATTCTAATGTTCCAAAGATGCTTTGCCAATTAGATAACCATCTCGGTAAAAAATTATTTTTTTTATATTATTAACTTATTTGTATATAACATATCTTCTATTCTTTGCCTACAGCATGTGTAAATTGTGTAAGATGGAGCAACAGTGGATTATTGGCATCTGGTGGTGTAGATAAACTTATTATGATTTGGAGATTATCCGGATCAGGAGGAAGTTCCATTTTTGGTGGAAAAGCCAGTGTAGAAACTTGGAGATGTATTGCAACATTGCGTTCACATGAAGCTGATGTACTTGATCTCGCATGGGCACCACATAGCCCATGGCTAGCTTCTGCTTCAGTGGATAACAGTGTAATAGTATGGGATGCTTCCAAATTTCCTGCAGTGGTCGCAGTATTAAAAGGTCATACAGGTTTTGTAAAAGGAATCACTTGGGATCCTGTGGGAAAATACTTAGCATCTCAATCCGATGACAAAACATTAAGGGTGTGGCGTACTACGGATTGGACAGAAGCAGCATTAATATCTGAACCGTTTGACGAGTGTGGTGGAACGACTCATGTCCTGAGGCTTTCCTGGAGTCCAGATGGTCAATATTTGGTGTCTGCTCATGCTATGAATGGAGGTGGACCTACTGCTCAAATCATAGAAAGAGATGGTTGGACACAGGATAAAGATTTTGTTGGTCATCGGAAAGCAGTAACTTGTGTTGTAAGCATTGAATATGTTTTTTTTTCTTTAATAATAAGAAGACTTATCGGAAATAATTGTATTAAATTTTTATATAAGTTTCTATAATTTTTTATTTTATTTTTTTTT